TATAGGTTTCTCATCGGGAAATATACATGAGAAGACGATACAGAAAGAAACACATTTCTACAGAATGTGCAATATTGATCTCAAGCAAAGAATCTCTAAGACTGAGCAACAATCAAGCCAAGGTAACAAGAAGAAAGGAAAAAAGAGCTTAACGGGTGATATGGAAACTTGTAGATTCATAAAAGAACACATCTTCAAAAGATTACTTATGTTCAAATTGGAGTTTCACATCAACGAGCTCATGATCTCAAGAGGACTCTATGGAGGTTTAGACAGCAAATAGCTACAATTATCTCAGTACTTTGGAGAGGCTTCTTTTCTGCTTCAGACGGGGGCTCTTGTTTAAGAGCAACAGTAATCCAGAATTGCTATTGGTAATGCCAAATGTATACCTGACGTAAACCAGACAACCAATCAGCTAGGACCATCACTGATTCAAAGTAAACTTCTGATAGCATGTAAAGTGAAGATAACATTACTTACTTGGTTCGTAGAGCTTTTCTCCTCCACAAAACAAATGAGGTAATCAACTGGAGTAAGACGCAAAACAAAAGAGAGGATAAGCAAATTTAGGAATAACATTGCCTGAAGAAGCATTAAAAAAAGGGGTGTTCTTCAGATGCAGTGCTCATTAAGTGCTGCAGGATTATTGGTTTTGTCATAGTTTTGAGAACTAAGATTAACTGTCCGAAATATAGTGTTCTTCAGGAGAAGCACTTCAAGTTGGCAGAAAACAAAAGATAAAGAGTCGGAAATCATGCATATCTAGGAATAGTACAGTCCATCGGAGTTCTTCTAAATATGATGGACGGTTGTCCTTTGATTATCAACAAATGGATCTGTTGCGAAAGACCACTTCTAAGAATATATCTCAAAATAAAATGCAGATATTTCTTATGTTTGGATATCCTTTTTGTTTTTCCTATTTATTTATTATTTTCATTTTAGCAGGTTGATACCATCTTTGTCTTCATCTTGTATAATCAATATCCTGTCTTCTTATATTTCTTATAAAAATAAAGAGTTTTTAAAAATACTTTTGTCATGGGACAATCTTCATTTAATAGGTTTCAGTCCTCCCCAGGAGACGGCTATAAAGTCAATACAAGTAAATCAAAAATTTTCTTAAGAATTTTTTGCACTTCGCAGAATAAAATCAATACAAAATATAGCCAAAGCTGGACATAGTTGCCTGACAGTTTAAATTCAAGAATTAATCAGCATCTTTAAATAACTGATTGACTTGTGCAACCTTTCTAGACATTGATTACTTGGTGAGGAACCATGAGGATTCAGTTTGGTTCACTCAATTAACTCAGTTTGTGCTCTTTTAGTCTTTAAGTTGGCCCCTCCTTTTTAAATTTAACAGTTAACTACTTTATTTTTTATGGGTCAATTGGTGAATTTGCAACTCTTGACTTTATTTTTTATGGGTCAATTGGTGAATTTGCAACTCTTGCCTTCTCTATTCTCAATATTTTTATGTCTTTAGCTTGCATGAAAGTCTTCCCATATATGCTTTATTATACGCCGGTTAGCGTAAAGTTGGTTTACAAATGCACATTTTACGGCCTAAGAACTTAGTTTCCATGGTGGTGGTTTTATGTTTCTAGAAGGAAACATTACATGAAAAGGAAAGTAGCAGATGAAAAATTTTCTTTGCCAGATGCAAAGGGATTGGTTTTTTCTTTTGGGTGGGGGGGCGGGGGGGGTGTTCTGTGGGTATAATAATTTTCCATAATTGACATTGCAGACTTACAGTTACGTATCAATGTGCAGTCTCTATTTTTTTAGTGTGTTTGTGAGTTTTGGGAATGCGGGTGGAATTGTCACTTAGGTATCAGTTGAAATTTCTGAACACGTACTCTAGAACTTCACAAAATTTTAAGCTAAATCATTTGTCACATCTCAGAGGTATTTCAAACAATATCACTGCTTTCTAATCAACTATTTTCTCATAGGCATGAATTCAGTATATGTCAGTTATATTTTCTTTAATGCTTCAAACAGACATAATATATCATATTATATTTCATTACAAGTAACACATATAATGTATTTTATGCTGCGAATATCACACTGGATTATCTGGGAAGGCTCATAGAAATCTAGAAGAAGATAGAGAATAATTTATGCTCTCACTTTGCATCGTTTTGAAAAAACTGATACTAGAGTTGTCTAGATTATTTAATCCAATTTTTGACTTCCTCAAATTTCAACTTTCTTATGATTCACACTAAAAGAAAATTCATATTAGGCTCTTTTCCAAATTAATATTTGAGGATGAAACAAGTCGCAGTTTCCATTTATGACTAAACGCATAGTCTCACAACAAAAAATATAAAAGTCAACTAATCACATGCAGTAGGAAATTTTATTATTATTATTATTATCAATGATACAATTCTACAGCGCTTCTCTTATTAACAATCTACTCAGCAGCAAGGAAATTTTCCTCCATGTATGATGTCAATATGCTAACCGGTTGTGATTAACATTTGACCTTTCCATGGAGGGTTGTGCTTCATAGACCATAACTGAAACCAAGGTTACAAAAGCAATGAGCGGCCTAGGCATTGGACCTAATGCCCAGAGCCTAGGCACTTAGGTAGGCCCTAGGCGGGTGTCCTATTTTTTATTTTTTAATTACAATAATTGGTAATAAATGCTACTGCTATAGAAAGCTTAGACGTCAGACTGGTGCCTAGGCGAATTTCTTTGTTCATTTAAAGTGGTGGTGGAAGAGATTTTACTGAAGGTCAGAGGAGGGAGAGGAGGTGTTCATAGTTGGAGGATGGAGAAGTTTGGAGAAGGTTGAAGAACGTGAACGCTGCAACGAAAGAATCACGATGTAAGGCTTAAACAGTGCAGTCCACACTCCCCTAAGCACCCCAAAAACCTAAGTGAGCAGCCTAAAAACCTAGGTGAGCAGCCTAGATACCGCCTAGTCGCTAGGCGCTAGGCGCTAGGCGAGCGGCGGCGCCTAGGCCTAGGCGTACACCTAGACGGGCTAGGTGGAGGCTCTTTAAAACATTGGCTGAAGCTCATTTTAGGGGAAAAGGTTTAAGCTAACAAAGATATTGTTCCAAGGAGGGGGGAAAAAGGTCTCAACGTTATATTCATCTGTTTATACATTAGCTGAAAGTCTGAAGACAATTTCTTTCTCCATGTGAACCATATACCTAAACAAGCTTCACTACAATTTATCAAAAGCCAAAAAACTACTTTTAACTCAACCATGCCAATCTACACTAAAATAAACCAAACAAGTTCAGCAAACTACCTTCGTCGCAGTACCAATCGACAAACTCCTGACAGAAGAAGGCTTTTTAACCAACTTCTGCTGCGCCTGTGGCTTAACCTCCTTACACAGCTGCTGAGCAATCTCCTTCAAAAGCACAAGCTGCGCCTTATCTGTCCCCATCGACATCATTGTCTGCCTCATCGCCTCCCTATCTGCTTCCAGGGCCTGCAACCTCAAATTCAGCCTCTTAATCTCCTCCTCCTCATTACCACTGAACTCCTCCCCATTATCATTCTTCCCAAGCTCCCTCGGTGTGCTCATACAACTCTCGGGCACACAATGCACCCTATCCACTGTGTAAACCCTAACCCTATCGCTGGAATCATCATCCCCAAAACTCTCCATTGAGACCCTCCTCGAATGCTGAGGCTTGCGAGGTGAGAAAGCTATCACCCCTTTCTCGTGGCTAGTGCTCGGCATCCTCTCCATCTTGCAAATCCTCTGCTCAAGATTCTGGATTTGATCTCTTGGGGTCTCGCCGAAAGCATACTTATCAAGATCAGTCGCTGGAAAATCCTCATTATCCTGCTCCGGCATCTTGCACCTCAATGGCGGGTAATCAGGTAGCGGCGGCGGCAGCGGCATCAAGGGCAGTGGATGTGTTGGGGGTTTGAGGCTCGGAGATGGTCGGTTCGAACCCGAAGCTCATCAATCGACGCTTGTAAGCCTGAAGCTCACAAGTTAGGGATTGAACAGCCTGATCACGCTTGAACAAGAGATCCTCAAGCGCCAGTATCTCCTCTTGATCGTGAGACATCTTCTCCTCGGCGAATCGCTTGAACTGCCGGAACTCCATTTGGACCTCCGCCTTCTCGCGCTGAAGGCGGAGGATCATCGACATCGCCTCGCTGGCGCGGCGTGCCGAGCGCGTCCGCTCCTCCTCACAGTTTCATAAAGACTAGTATTGACGCTGATGCTGCTGTTAGGGTTTCGCCGCGCCACCGGCCTCGTTCTCGATCTCCACTCCCGCTGCAGCGCTGACCGTCCGGAGAGACTTCGCCGGCGAGATGACGTCATTATTTCTGGACTTGATCGAGCTTCCGCGCTTTAGCGAGAGTGGCACGTGCAGGACCAGGAGCACGTGCCTCCGTGGGTGTTCGATGGGTCCATGGAGATTTGTTGGATCCGATGCGAGCATGAGAATTGGAGCCGAATCCGATATCCGGATAATCGGTCCTATTGTTCGTTGGATTTGTTCGGCCCTGCCTTCTTCTTCTCTTCCCGATTTCTCGTTGAATCGAGGACGAGAATTGGAAGAGAAGAGAAGATATGAGGGAATCTAGGTTTTGTTTTGTTGGGATTTGAGAGGAGAACGAGGGAATGATTCGAAACCCTAAAAAATTCCCATTTATTCTTTATTTATTATTTTTATTGGCTTTTTTTTCCGCTTCTTCTTTTTCTCTCTCTTGTCCGTTGGGCTTTCTTTTGTTGAAAAATTGTTGTCTTTTCTCTTGCTGGAAATTTGAAACTAATTTTTTTTTTATGGAGAAAAGGAAAAGAGGGAATGGGGTCCGCTCTTTTGTCCAGAGAAGCGTCCTAGATTCAAGCTTCCCGCCTAATTATGCCAGCTCATTTTTTTTCTGCATTTTTTTAATTTCCTAAAAAGAGGAAATTTGGAAAATAATAAAACGGGAAAGTTAGACGATAACTTTTTTTTCTTGTTAAGAACATAATGAGTTTAATTATAACAAGCTTCTGAATTTTAGAACCGCCAATTAAACAGCACACATACTCAATTGTCCAAAAATGAGCATCTTATGTACAAAAGAGAATACTGTGCAGTCCAAAAATGAACTGAACTAGGGTAGTTGAATAAACTACCTGTCACCGAGTAACAATGATTTAGCATCAAGAAGAGATCTTTGGACCTCTCCAAGCTCTACTTCTATCTTTTCAGAAAAAGACTTGTCTGAATCGGAAAGCATTAGGGTATGTTTGCTCTCCTCCATCAAATTATTCAGCTTCTGAGTCGCGCACATTTGCTTAGCTCTCAACTCCTCTAGTTTCCTAACTTCCAATTGCAGCTCTTCATCAAACAACTTGATCTCCTCTTCTTTAAAATCTGATTCAAAGATGCATTCTTGGTATTCAACCAAAATATTAGACATCTCTATCATTCCTTCTTCTCGCATTTCAGAGATAATCTCTTTTTCTGCAACAACATCCTTGAGTTTACGCTCAGCTTCCTGCAGAGAATGCACCCCACTCTCTATTCCTGCTTCGAGACTTTGAATCATAGCATCAAGTGCTTCAGATATCTTCTTTGAGTCTGTAAATTCCTTCAGAACAGTGGCCAACCGTTCCCTTTGCTGCTTAACCTCAGCAGATATTTGGGACCTCTCCTCTTCAGATTTGAGCATTTCTGAAGCTTTGCCAAAATTGGTTGCCCTCTGTGATGAAATATCTGGATTGTTATCAATGGCAAATAGTACCCTCTCAGTCTCTTTCTTTCGAGACTCAGCATCTTGGTATTTCAGTTTCAAATCAGCTATGCTTTTTCTCAGTTCAGATTCAGACAACCGAGCATTTATGCAGGCATTATCTGCTTCCTCCTTGCGGATCTTAAGGTGTTTAAGTTCTTCCTTTTTTCGCTCAAGAGGTGCTGAACACAATTTGACATGTGTTCTGGCTTGTTCTTCTCTTTTATCCCAATACTGAACCTTCGAAGAAACACTCTGAAGTGCTACTTTCAGAGCCAATAACTTATTCTCCACAATTTTTCTTCTTTCACGTCTTTTGGGCAAAATGGACTTCGTAGCTGTTAGCTCCTCCTGTTGCAGCTGAACACTTCGATCCATGGCTTCAACAGAGCATCGTAGGTCATCCACCTCAAATGTTGCCTTTTCAAGTAATCCAAAATATTTAGCAACTTTTTCTGCACCTTCTATCTGGTTTTGGACCTGATCCAACTTGATTCCAACTAGTGATACTTTTTCTTCTGATAGTTCAAGTTTTTCACCCTCGCGTTTCTGAATAACTCCATCAACATCCATTTTAACAACTTCTTCACGTTTGATCTCTTCTTTAGGTCCATAAAAGGAAAGACTTCTTTTATATTCATCCCTCTCCTGGACAGCTTTTTCGTACAAGCCCAACAGTTCCTCTAACTTTTCCTGAGATCTTTCACAATCCATGTGATTGTTGCCTTCAGGTTTTTGAAAATTATAAGAAGATATTAGCTTCTTGAGATCATCTCTCTCCTGCATTGCTTTCTCATACAAGCTTAACAGCTTGTCATTTTCTTCATGCATTTCATGGAGTTGATGCTGCAGAGTTTCGATATCCTTCATTTCTTGATAATGGTTGACCATATTTGAATTCTCAGGTCCCTTTCCTGTATAATCTGCTGAGTTCTCTTGCCCTCCAGTATGTTTGATTTGAAGATCAGTATCCAGTTGATTAGAAACACCACCACAAGTAGCACCATCATAGAGCTCAATAAGCTTGTTGTTGTCCTCAATTAGAACTTTAATCTTCTCTCGAAGCTCCTCGTTCTCCTTGGCCAATATGATCGCAGTTTCATGGGATTCTGCTTCTCGCTGACTTGCAGCTGCAATTGCATCAACCATTGTTTTAAGTTCCATTTGCTCATCAGTTGATTTATCATTTTGCAAATTGTGAGTCTCTTCATTTGGAGCATCAAAGGAAGACCTCTGCTCTTTAATCTCTGAGACTAACTCATCCACATGCCTGCAGATTTGTTCAGTAAAATGCTCATCTGTTAGAAAATGAACACAATTTTTTTAACTTCTTATTTTATTTTATTATTTATTTATTTATTTATTCATTCTGGAGTTAAGTGGTAATGTGTATACGAAGATTACTCAATGTAAAAAAACAACAGTTTTCAAATAAGACCAAGGAGGTCAGCCACAGTGGTAAAAATGTAGTTTAGGATTGTGGAGTCTACAGTTTCAATACAGGCTTGCATCTTTCTTTAAAAAAAATTACATTCATTTCTGCAACTAACAGTTTACTAATTGGAAAAAGCACAGTCAAGTGCGGAAACTAACATTTGGCTTCTTGTTGACTTCTTCAATTCAGTATGAGAATTGATATATATGGAGAAGGAAGCATCAGAACAGAAAGGCCCCTCTGATTCTGATTGTAGATAACATGTTAGTCCTTTTCTATTTCTACTGCAGATAGTTTGCAACCATAATTGGGATATGTGACTTTGTACTTCAAAACTTTCCAAGTTTATTTGTCACGTCAAAATTCTGCCTTCAAGTATCATTCCGCGTTCAAGTATCAGTTCGAGTGAAGGACAAGCAGAATTCTGGTCTGGTAAATTCTTAAATTCCACAACCTAGTCATATAGACAAGTCCTAGTTAACCCTATCATATAAAGATGGGATATGTGACTTTATAGTTGAAAACTTTTCCAAGTTTATTTGTCAATTGTCACATGTCAAAAAATTGCCTTCAAGTATCAGTTCAAGTGAAGGACAAACAGAACTTCTGGTCTGGTAAATTCTTAAATTCCATAACCTTGTCATACAGGCAAGTCCTGGTTAATCCTATCGTACAAAAATCAGGACCATATTTTAAGTTGGTGATTCTCAAAATTTTAAATTTCTGTAAACTTATCACGTATAAGTCAGGCCACGTTAGTTTAGGATACCTACATATTAGAGGAATTATCAAAATATGTATTCACGTACCCCCTGAGCCAAAGACAAAAGAAATTCTAGTATGATAAATATTTACTTTTACAAGGCCTAGCTTGGAGTATTATTGTTAGTCTTTATCTTGGTATGTTTTGTTTTTTTCATAAAGTATTATATTTTGTTATATGGTTGGGGGGTGGGGTGTATATATATATAATATTTACCATAGTGTGTATAATATTTTTAAAATGCAATTAGCATAATCTGCTTAATCGGTACCCGAGATCGGACCGTACGCATAATGAAACCATTTTTTAGAAACTTGCTGACATTCAATGTCAAATAATATAGCAAAAAATAGGGTACGTGTTCTATAGAACTAATAAGCCTGTTATGTACCTCTCAAGCTTTTCTTTGGCCTCTAGGCAGAAAGTCAGATTCTTCCTAAGTGCTTCCACTTCCCTCTGATTTTGAATAGCCTGAATAAAATCCAGGTCATGTATCTTCCAGCAAATAGTTATAGGACGTGAAAAGCAAGGGAATTCATCTTTGTGTAAAGAATTCATTTAGACTGTTAAAAATGTTAGTTACCTGCAAGCGAAGGAATTCATTTTCTTCATTGACTGAAGAATCCCAGGTTAAGGATAGTCGACCCTGTGAAGCAAAATGCATAGAAGTTATACTAAGAAGGAAGGATAACATACGAATTTTCACTCAAATATTACTTTTTTCACAAAAAGAATGATAGTTCATTATCATCTCAAATAATGTTTGAGACTTTATGATGATTTAGTGAAAAATGGATCGAATATAAATTGACCTTTTTGGCTCATGACCAGTAATATTCATAGCTCGTATTATATGGTAAAAATGGCACAGAAGATGTGCTGACGAAGAATAATATTTGTGTATGTAAACTTGCATACATATGATAATACATACATATATTTAGGCTTGTACACCAAGGGCACAACTAAGTAAAATAATCCACTCTATTAATGTTAGCGAGCACATTATGGAAGATGGCTATTATCCTCTGGGGAAATAAATAGAAATCAAGTTCAAATATAGAAAATTTTGAACCTGAACAGCCTCTGTATCTTTCTCATGCATGAGCTTCCAATCCAATGCTTCCAATAACTGCAGAATACAAGCCTGATGAATAAACAGGAATTTGATATAAAAGCTTTTTAACCCCGCTTTACAGGAACATCAATTGATACCTTATCTTGTAAAACTGTGATCTGTTCATTCAACATATCCCGCTCACCTTCTTCAACAAATGCCTGCAGTCTGAGGATTCACAGATGCACAGATAGCAAACATGAAACTAGAGGTTTACTGGATATAAAATAAATATCAAAATTTACAGGAGTCTAAAAGACGAATATAAAGCACACCTTCTAAGTTCTTCTTTCAGCTGCAAATTTTCCATAGCAAATCTAGTTACTTCTGGATTACGATCAACCTGGTTACGCAGAACCTCTATTTCCTTTACAAGCTCCTCCCTTTCTTGCAGAAGATGTGCTTCAGCTGATAGTTTTCCAGAATTAACAGCCTGCAGCCTTTTTATTCCTTCCTCCCTGAACCTAAGTCTCATCTTTAAACTTCTTACCTCCTCTGTTTTTTGAGTAGCCTGAAACACAAAAGAGTGCATGGTACCAAGTTTACTTACAACTAATGGCTCGCAGAGAAATTCATATTTGATAAAATAAACACAAAATAGAATAATTAAGACAAGCACACAGCTCTACTAATTGTAATGTAGAAAATTTAAGACAAGAAAAAAAAATGCTCATTTATCTATGTAAGGACTATAAACTTATGCATTAAGTTTTAACTGACAGTTTCTTCTCTTTTATGTTAATAGATTAAACATTTCACTTACCAGCTGCTCTGCAGCCTGCTTCCCAGCAGCCAAGGCCTTCAAAGCTGCTTCCTTATCTTGATCTCTTCTAAAGGCTGCAACTAGGGCAGCTTCGTATTCTTTCCTCTAGAATGAATGTTAAAATAAGATTGAACAAACTAAGATCAAGAAAAACACTATAACAGCTACAAGGGGGAAAACAACAGTTACATTATTCCTCAATTTTGAAAGAGATATACCATAAAATTTATGGCAAAACTAAAACAAAGATGCTTACCTGTGATAACCTTCTATCAAATGTAAGCGGACTAAATGATCCTGATCCTTGTAGTCCATCCCATTTGAAATTTCCTGGAGATCCTGGAGTAAAAGCGCTTAAGCTGTCAACTCCAAAGTTCTCACTTCCCCCATTGACCAATCCTTGCAAGCGATTAACTTCTTTCTGCATAATTAGGATATAAGGGTGTAGACGTTGAGTTACGGTTACAAAAAACACCCACAAGGGACCAAAAAAAAAGCCACGCAAAAAGAGAGAAAGATGTATTCAGAGAGCCAATGTAAATAATTCCAATCAGGTGAGGCTAAACCAACATATTGCAAATTCGTTCAAAAGTACTAGTATATCAAGATGCAGATAGCCAATTTAATTTGTTTACATTCAATTACCATCGCAATAACAAATATTTGCCCTAATTCAGAACTACAATGTGTTTTGGTTTTCAACAATATGATGTTTCAAATAAATAAAGTGTAAAAATAATCACTGCAATAGTGTGCATGTTAGAATATAAAAATTTAACCCTCAACCATCATCACAACTTTAGAGTTTTGGTGTAATTGTTAGAGAGACTTTAAGATGGTATCAAGCAACCCAAGTTCAAATCCCACCAGCCACAAGTTAAAAACAGATTTTCTAAAAATTGATGCTGCTGCGGAAGTCTAGGTTTTAGCCCATAAAGGACACTCAACCTGCAGAGGCATGTTAGAATATAGAAATATAATTCTGACCCCCATCGCAACTTCAGAGTAATGGTTGGAGGGACTTTAAGAGTGCATACTCTATTGTATGTTTAAATTTGTCACTCAGATCACATCATACCTTCAGTTGTTGAATCTGTAAACGCATCGCAAGGACATCTCCAGAAGCATCTTCATTGACAATTGCCTAAAATTTGAACCATGAGCGCTTATGCTGGTGCTAAAAACAAGAGAAGAATTTAAGGAAAAAGATGGAAGCTTGAAAAGTACTTACATGGTTCCTGATGAACTTAGCACGCTGAGCAAATTTTAATGTGCTTAACGTTTCCAGAGAACAACTATAAAGAGAACAATGATTGGCTAAATTAACATTTATCACTAATACCAAAAGAAGAATTCAACAAAATCATATAATATGATCGAGAAGAAAAACTTTCCAACACAAGGTGTCACTGACCAACTGGAAGGGCTTATATTGGCAATTATAGTAGTTTTGGAATTGCCTCCCAGGGAGTCCTGAAAACATGCACAAATAGCAAATAAAGAAAATGAGTTTAATTGAGGGGAAAGTTTTATATTTACTGGACAAAGTTAAGAAAGTTGCTTCGCTGACAAAATTCCTGATTAGCTATGCAACAAGATCTAAATTGTTGATCATGATCTCACACTATGGAATGTAAAGCTCGTAATTCAATATTTCCTATCCATGCATCACGTGATCCCATTGATTATAATGGTGAAAATTAATTCAGTTGGAAGCCATTTGGTGCACATATATAAATCTCCAGGATATATATTATGTCGGACTACCAACTGGATCATTTAATTTGCGAGGCATACATTAGGATGGCCAATCAATTTTGATAGGTGAAAACACCAAGGGTTCTTGGTTTGTGGGAGAAAAAGAGCTTATTCAATACCTGCTGTCAAGTGATATGCCCAATAGCAAATAGGTTTGATGCATCTAATGTTTCCTCACGTGGAAACGTATACTTTTCTACCCATATGGTATTTGACCTTATCGTTGCAAACTTGCAATGCATTTTGATAGGGATAACATCTCTTATCGTCATCACTGTACTCAACCATCCTTTCTAGTGAATATCCTAAAATGATCAGTTCCATGTTGTACTAAATCAGCAGCTATTAAAAAAATTGTATCTACTCTTTATGTCAACATGATAGGTAAACAGAAGAAATCAATCTTATCAAAGACAATAATACAGTTTTAAATTAATAATAATTGCAATGATATTTTCTACCTTCAATATTTTTACCATGTGTAACCACATGCGTCTTCTGACAAAGTATCAAGTTTAATTGGGGTCTTTACATATTGACATAGAAGGGTCCAAAAGATTTATTTTGTAGAAATCCAAGAACCCTTTGTTTTATTGTTTGAACAAAAATCTGGTCTTCGTAGTAGATAGTGAAATTTATCCCTGATGGCGAGCTTCGTTTGACTTATATTATTTATTGTTTCCCAATTTTACTAGATAGTGAAATATTATGCAGGTTCACTTTTTCCATCTGGTAGGTATTATTCATGTTAGCAACAAATTACTTTGCAATAACAGATGTTGTTCTATATTAAGTTAAACTTCCACCTGAAGAAGAAATGTCAATTTTGAATCTCTGTAAGGAACGTGCATAGGCTTCTTGTTTGAACTGCCAACAAGGTTCATAATGACAAGCCTGAAAATCAAATGTAAATCAGATAAGATGATCTGCCAACATCAAAAAACAATAAATTTAGTGCAATAAAGGAACGGATATGATTTGTCAATAGATGACAGTGTTCACAGACCCTAAAGTTGAAAGTGACTTGTTGATGTTAGTAGCTTCCTTGAGCCGATCACCTTCGGCACCTGAGCTCTTCTGCCTGTGCTCAAGAAACAGACAATAACAATATTAACCAACCATCAAGTAAAATATAAATTGGATATTTCCGCCACACATTTATACAAAACTACACCGAGTACACATTTTAAAACTCCAATTTAAGATATAATCATATTCTAAGCTTTCTCATCAAATGGGGTCATCTCTAGAGCATGATTCCAATTTAAGATAGCTCGAGAAAATAATGGAGTAAGAATTCCTAAATCAACTATATATCTCATGTAATATTGAACAAATAAAACAACCAAAATGCATAGATAACAAAACATCGTGCTTTGCGGTCCAGGTCACAAAAGGCACACATGTGTCAGAATGCCAAGTCCAGGGACAATCAGCATCCCAAAGCATAGAAGAGAAAAGCCGCACATTTAACATGGTTTGTGCTAAGTTCTTTCCTAATATCTTACCTCTCTGAGCCTGCCAGGTCTACAAGATTGAGCCGAGCAAATCTGTGATGAGTAACTCCTTGGGCTTCCCACTGAAACAATAATAGCCATGATTAGTGGGGATAATGGAGAATTTATCGTGGGAGAAAAGAACCTCGTTTGAGCAACATGATGGAAAATTACTTTATAAGTTGTCAGCCATGTTAAAATTGCAATATCAAATATATGTGCCGAATTTGTCAGAGATAGAGCATGCATAGAAAGATAAGACTTATCAAATTTCACCTACCTTACTTTCAATGACACAAGTGAAAACACTATGGGACCGACTGCTTGCTCGGTTCATATTTGTGGCAGCAACTTTTCTATTTGCAGCTCCCTGCAGTTATATTGGATCATAATATTAGGAACATCTATTGTGATTCTACTAAAAAGTAAAGCAAAGGATGCCAATGCATTGCAACATTGGCTCCATAAGCCCACTAATCTAACCTTATAAGGTTGTCTTAGGGTTACAGTTGTCAAATAACAAACTAAGAGGAGGTCCTTGATAAAAATTTCAAGACCTCAAATTACAAAATTCAATACTAGTCAATTTAATAGACCTACATGTTTCTATTTAAAGAAATTTATATATGATTATTTGGTAGCTCATAAAGTTTTGACTGTCTAATTTATGGAAAAGTGACCAAATTTAAAATCTTATACCTGAATAAGTTGTTGCATTACATCTCTGGCACTTGAAACTTCAAATTCTTTCAGGTTCTCCACATGTACGCCTTTCTTTGCATCTTCCCTTATCTGGAAGAAACCAAAAGATACTTTACATACATTGCTCTAGATTCAAACACAAGTAGAAGGTTATTGTGAACTGTAATCTTGAATCCTATAGCAGAATAAGAGCTAGCAGTTTTTTAGAGTTTGATCCATTACCTGAAGATTGGTAGAGGAAGGTTCTAACAGATCTAAAATCTGTTCATTATATATTTCCAGAAATGAACATTTACATGTAAATCGTATCTTTTCTTCTCTTCGAATTTCCTTTTCCTACAAAATCGAAGGCACTCGGGATCTAAGTGTTAATCAATGCATAGAGATGGTAAAATATTCAACACATTATAAAAAAACCTACCTTTTGTATCCTAGAGAACATATATTCAAAAACTCGAGGAGTCATGCCACAGTTTACGCTATGTCTACGAGTTCCTTCTTCAATGTCTCCTAACATTGTATGTGTTTTTCCACTGCCAGTCTGAAAACCAAGTACCAAACAATAAGAGAATTTCCCCTTTTAGCTATTTGAAACCTCAATTCGCTGTCTTTGAGCAAAACTGAGGCATTGTAGTTCACATGTGTTTAGTAAAGTAAAATAAACCTATTATATACTAAAATCTTATACAGATCCCTTCAAACTGTGAAGTACATGGATATGAACAAGGTTTTCCTTGGTTTTTCCAGATATAAAATCATTAGTTAAAGGGTTGAAATATAAGCGAGAACTTACTTGACCATATGCAAACATGCAGCTGTTGTAGCCAGAGACACAGTTCTCCACCATGGGAACTCCAGCCACTATAAACAGCTTCTCCTATTAAAAACAGAACATAATATTTCTCTACAAGTAAGATATCAACATATAAAGAGGTAATTGCAATACATGAAATAGAAAAGCACAAATTAATACCTGCGTGACATGCTCATCAGCGACGAGATCAAAGGTAAAGCGGGACTCTGGGTGTCCAATCCACGTAATTGTTTGGCAGCTATCCTGCCTAACACATTTGTTATTCCCTTGAAGGGAGAGTTCAGCACTGCTGAGTGGTCGAATTCGGATAACGACCTAATTAAAATTCCAAGAATACTAAGGAATTAGATCAATTCAAGACAGGAATATTTACTAAACCAACTCAATCGGATTCTTGTTTTCATTCTCTGCGCACTATCAGTCCAACAAGCAAATAAAGAACCCAAAGCAGCTATCTTGTTGGAAAATGTGGGGTTGTAGGGTCCAACTTTAGCACATCAACAGGCACTTTAAGTGCTAAAGCGTAAATTTTGAAATTTTCGACAGATCTCACCTACAACTTGCAGGAACTCGAAACTATAGTACTAATAACGGAACTTGGAGGCACAAACAATCAAACAGCCCATCACAAAAATTAAGTAATTACTAAAAAAAATCAAATACCTGAACGTTGTGATCCTTCCAGAACGAAGGATCCTCTTTAAGCTCAAATCCCTCACTCCCGCCGCCGCTCGATCCGCTCTCGTCGGAATCTACCGAGCCCGTCTCGGACGCCGTGAACTCTTGAGATCTAACCCTTGTTCTCATCGCGCTCCCCACTTCTCCGATCGCCGGCATCCTAATCATCAAATTTTCGATGAACCTAGGGTTTCGAATCAGAGAAAAGAAAATCTAGGGTTTTGGAGAGAGAGAGAGGGAGCGAGTGAAAAATGTTTGGGGGGAGGGAGAGAGAGCGAAGAGTGGAGTTTAAAAGAAAATAAATTGTTTGAGTTGTAATGATTTGATCGGACGGTGGAGATTTGTTTTATAGACGGCTAGGATGAAGAGAATTCAAATTTCAGGGCCGTTGAGTTCGAGTGTAATAAGATTCGAGGGCCTTCCTCTCTGTTTTCCAAACGGCACAGGGACCTGAATTTTGTAGTACCCGAGGTTCAGAGCTGGGCCCACACAGTTATTGGCGTGCTTTTCACTCGTAACGTCTCACCCACGTTCATGAATGATTCCCAGGAGTTATGAAGCCACATGAACTGCACAAAACTTGAGAAAACCGTCGTAAAGTTCAGCCTAGCTTCCGAGACAGTTGCATGTGTCTCGGATGTGAACACTGAAGTCTTGTCCCATCAGTCTTCCGCTTGGGAAGCTGATCACGAGACTTGGTTTTCTCGTGTTCAAGTGGGGGCCACAAGCTTTGGAGAATTGGAGTTTGTTCAGCGGATAAAGAAGGCCACGAAGTTAGGAAACCGTGTGGAAGAAGTTTGTTCAGCGGGTTCTTGGACAAACCTGGCCCACCCGAATGGAATTTGTAGGCTATAAATAGGAATTGTATTCTCTCCTAGGGTTTGGTGCGAAGGCTGAGGGGGAATAAACGGCAGCAAAGGCAAAGGAAATTTGGCTTTTGGCGGCTGCAGCGGGTAAAGAGCAGAGGGTGAAAAGAAACTTTTGGGCGGCGTGCAAGCAAAGCAGAGAGAGAAAAAGCAGATAGCTTTTTGGCTGTTTTGAAGAGGAGTTCTGTGCAGCGTCTCTTAGGTTTTAGTATCCCTTTTGTGAGAGATTGAGAGATTGTTTGAGGGTTTAGATTTGAGAGATTGTAAACCCTATTTGTATTCTCCTCTCTAATAGTAGATCTCCCCCTCCTTGCCCCGTGGACGTAGGCAGTTTGCCGAACCACGTAAAATCGGTTTGTTTGAGTTTGTGGCCATTGTAATAGTTTTTAGGATCCCTCGACGCGTAGTCCTAGAGCTGACGAGAGGAAGAGCAAATATCCCACTTTGATGGGATATTAGGCTTCAGATTCTTGTTTCCTTTGAGAAACAAGAATTCTTATCGGTCTTTCTCTCTTATTGTGCACCAGAAACTCTGCCGAAATTTCCGCTGCGCACAACATCGGAAGCTATAGTTTTCCTCATAGCTTCTGAGACAACTGCAACTGTCTTAGAAACTATGAGTTTCCTTCATAGCTTCCGAGACAGCCGCCACTGTCTCAGAAACTATGAGTTTTCTCATAGTTCCTGAGATATGTTTTGTACCTCAAAACTTGTGTAATGCATTTTGACCTCTTGAAACAGTGGAAATCGTCTAACGAGATGGGAACTTTTGAGTCGACTCAAGGCGTGTCGATTGATCCCACCTTTCGATTCGACATGGAGAGTTCTCGTCTCATCTCCTTGAGTCGGCTATCCTCGCCTTTCGAGTCGACACAAAAGAGGTCTAGGACTTCAGACTGCCTTTTGAGTCGACACTGATCTCGTCTTGACTTCAAATTATCGTCTTGTCTCGGTCTTGTCTCGGACCGTCTCTTAAGTCGACACTGATCTCGTTTCGAGTTACGTCTCGGACCTCAAGTCGACTATCAACGTCATTCGAGTCGACGTAGGAATTGTCGTCTTATCTAGTCGATTAAGACGTCGACTTCAATCAGCTTTCAAGTCGACGTATGAGGTGTCATCTCAACTTGGACTTTGAGTCGACTACCAATGCCATTCGAGTCAACATATGGCGTGTCGTATCGTCTGGTCAAGATGTTGACTCTTGATCAAATTGTAAGAGCCGCCTATTGTTGAGTGTGAAGACTTGTGCATTCTTCCGTGACTCAGATGATGACATTTATCGTCTTCTCTTCATCTTAAACCATTTGTGGGGACCTATAGGTAATTTTTGACGCCTACAGCCTGCAGGACTTTGCCTGAGCATCAAAGCTCGCAAGAACAAAGCTCATGTGGCTTGTTCGCTTGCATCAAATATGCTTCGCCTGAATGCTTGACTTCACAGGCAATGCGAAAGTTCACCTAAGCAGTGGACTTCGCCTAGAAAGAATTGAGCTCACCTGAATGCTCAGTTCGTCAACTCGCAAGTTAGCTAAGCTTGCATGAATGCTTAGCTCGTCCACACAAGCTAAGCTCGCATGCAGGAGGTTCGCCCATACGATCCAAGCTCGCCAACAGGGTTTAAGCTTGCCTAAACGATTAAGGGGTTCGCCTCTTAACCTCGCCTGTTCGCCTAGCTCGCCTGCAAGCTCGTCTGAGTGTTTATGAGTTCTGAGTGTTTAGTTCGCCCGCCAGCTCGCCTAGCTCGCCTGCTAGCTCGCCTGAATGTTTAACTCGCTCGTAAGCTCGCCTGAGCAGTTAAAACCACTTACTTGAATTGTGGGAGTGGTTACGCCCACTTCCCACGATTCAAGGGGTCAGTTATGATCTTCTCTAGCTATAAATAGCCATATTCGACTATAGAAAAGGGGATCTTTGATTTTGCTCTCTAAATCCGATTTTTGGCTCTCGAATTCTTGGATTAATCTTGATTTTGGAGATCTAATTCTTATCTTTTTGCGTCTTTCTTGATCTTAGCTTTCGAATATCTTGAACTCTTTTGGCATTCGGTCCTTTTGGGAGATAAAAGAACCAAATTTTGCCTTTTGAGCATTCGGCCTCGATTCCAAGCTTGGGTGATCGAACTCTTCAACTCAAGTTTCAACTACACGCTAAAACTTGCCCGTAATCTCGATCAAATCATCCAAGGAAAGCAAACTCGATGCAAGCATCAAAGGAGGCATCCTATCACCCCATAGAACCCACATTAAACAAGAAGAGATCGAATCAACTCTCTTCGCTTTTGTGTAAAAGTGAATTTGATTTGTAATAAGTGGTTTTTATTAATACAAATTTGAGATCCATTTTACATCCTACAGATGATGGCGACCACAGTGGGAGATACCATTTTTTCCAATAAGATGGTGGTGGTGCAATTTGACGAAATTGCGGCGAGATTGACTGTTGAGTCCCTTGTAATTGAGTTTGATCAGGCTAAGTACGAAGAGTACTTATCCTCAGCTTCTTCAATAGCAAAGCATCTCGCAAATGCCGCAAAATTGTGTGTGTGACCGAGTCCTAAGCGGTTAAGGCTACCACGCCTGAAAGCTCTACCAGAGCAAACATTGGGGGTCATATCTCCCCCAAACCAATTGAGGCCGATCAAAAGGCTAAGAATGCAAGCCAAGGGGCTACTAGATGGGTTGTCAAGCAACCCACACAAGCTCCTATCCTCGAGGAAACAACAGTTCGTGTCGACACGGATCACGTCTTCACCATCAACATGAAACGCTCTTCTCTCAACGAGGGTCAAACAACGGCAACGACAAGCCCTCGCTCGCCACGAGGCACGAGCCCTCATCTCCTATGAAGAGCTGAATTACTATTTAGGCCTAAAAAGAGTCAATCAAGAACGTAAAGTTCTCAGTTTCACCAAGTTCCCAAAACTGGCGAACTCAACGTTTCAGGCGAGCCTAGCTGTATTGGCAGGCTTTGCTCTGTGAGCAAAGTTCCCAATTCTAGCGAACTGCACAAAACAGGTGAACCTAGCCATTCAGGCGGGCTTCGCTACACTAGCAAAGTTCCCAAATCTGGCGGACTGCCCAAATCTGGAGAGCCATGCAATTTAGGCGTGCTTCACTTTCAAGTTCCAAATCTGGCGAACTGCATAAGTCAGGCGGACTTTCCAAATCAGGCGAACTAAAAGCAGCATGCGAACCTCACAAAGCTCGCCTGACAGTCCTATCTTGCCCGCAAACGGACCTTCGCTAGAAAGGCAAGACAGTAGTTCGCCAAACAGGCGAACCTCACCTGAATAAACAAGTGGCTGAGACTCGCCAGCAGACTAGGCAACCTTGCCTGACTAGGCAACCTCGCCTATCAAGACGAGCTCACCTAAAATTAACACTTAGAGAATTTTCTGAGGGGGGGTTAGTCACCTAAAACTTTTTAAGTAGCACTGGGATAATTGGTAAAGTGGGATAATATTTTGACACTGGGATAATTTAGTGGAACAATGATGGGTAATGATAATATTTTGACACTGGGATAATTTAGTGGAACAATGATGGGTAATTCTTAAAGTGGGATAATTTGGTAGGATAATTTGGTGGGATAATGATGGATAATATTATGAAGTTGCATAATTTAGTAGGATAATTTAGTGGGGGTAATGGTGGGTATAAATTACTACTGTTAATAATTATATATTAAAAATAATATAATATTAATAAGCAAATTCTAGTAATAACTATAAAATATAATGCAATAAAATATCATTATTCATCTCAAATAATAAAATAATTTACAAATAAATAAAAATCTAAATCCCTAGAGCGACTCGACTTTCATCATCCCACATGGCTTCTATCATCCCACATGACATCTACCATAGAATTTCTCCAAGCTCCTACAGCTGCTCGTCGTCTTCTTTATCGGAGTCATCGTCTGCATCAGCAACATTTCATGGAGCTTCTAGTGGAGGATCATAAATGTCGAAGTTCAAATCTCATAACATCATAAAGAAAGAAAAATAAGCATTTTTCAGCCATTAACCCTTTGGACCAATCTCATCATGATCGCTGAAACCAAATCAGCAAATAAATGAAATGTACACAAGAATCATCCATGGCCGCTAAACAGATGATCGACAGATGAACTATAAATATCCCAATCAATTTACTGAGCCGATTTAATAATAATAGATATCACCATTAACCATTCAACATCTAATCATCAATGTGATCGCAAAGTTGCTTTCTAACTTATAAAAAAGCATAAATAGCCCGCATATCTTTAGCACTAACCCACCAACACTATATTTTTAACCTAAACCACTGTTGTTGAGAGAAAACTTAATTAGATCAAACAAATAATAATAAAGTAATTTAACATCAAAAAGCTATCAATAAAGTAATACATCTTGAAGATAATAATAA